AGTCCTGTTGTCGTCAAGATTGTAAGAATTTTCAATTTAAATGAACTCTCGCCATGATAAATACAAATCAAGGTTAAAAAAATCCATTTTAGTACAGAACTAAGAAACAAAGCCAGCCAAAGCTCACCCCCATCTAGCACCAGCTTTCTAAGTAGCCCCAAAATCTTATATAAATGGAAAACCTTTAACCCAAGGAACTCAGAGTCTAGAATAACCAGTAAATTTTGGCAACATTTTTATTCTTTTCACAGAGGAGAGAAGGAGGGAGAAAAATAAAGGCCTGGAAAAGTTAAGAAAGGTGTTATAAGGTGAACATAGTGATCCAATGGCCTGATTCTTAGACAAGTGAAACAATTATACACACCATTTACGTCCAGGTACCAAGGCAAGCAATTTGCCTGGTTTTTTTATGACATTCATAGACCTTCTGCAAGGGGGTCCCTTTTCTCCAAATGGGGAAACAGATTCTTCAATTCATATTTTTTCATAGGATGCTGATCCCTCTCTGAGCATCAAACAGGATAAAATGTCTTTTTGTAGTTTCCAAAGAACAAATATGATTTTATGTAGTTCAGGGGAGTCACTCCCTTTCCAGATGAGCTAGTGGTCAGTCTTTTGTTCATGGACACCTAAAACTTCACAAATAATTTAGTGTAGTGCTTTTCATGGAGTAAGTAGGTACTTATTTATGTTTCTTTATCCTCAAGGAGTCTGATAATTTATAGATTTGAGGCAACTTAATTTGTTTACCTTCTCACTGCCATCATCCCTTGGTAGAGGCTCCATTAAACTTTAATACATGAATTAATGAGCTGCTTATGTACAGTACAGTTTAAAATTATGTGGATTTGGATAGTAGCATTTTGTTGGACCAATCAATTTCCATAAATATGATAACAACACATATGATATAAATTTTAGAGAATGTTGGTTCTGTCCACCATCACTATAAACACATTCTATTTTGATTCATTATTGCTTATGTACTAGCAGGAAAAGATGGGCTGTAATACAGTACTTCATCATTTTGTAATCAATCTTGAATTATTGAATTATTGATTGAACATACCTATTGCCATTCTCCACTTTGAGAAGAAATAAGTGTGTGTGTGTGTGTGTGTGTGTGTGTAGAGCAAGGAGCATAATTGGTAAACAGAGAAAGCCTGATGAGAAAATGAGACCCAACAATGCCTTGAAGAAAGTATAAAGTTGGGATAGACAATTGAGGAGAGAAGAGACAACGTGAACAAAAGCAAAGAGGTGGTGTAGACATGTGTTTAGGACAGTAGAGAAGAACACATCTGGGAAATTAGGGGTTTATGCTCTAGGGCAGGGGTGTCCAACCTTTTGGCTTCCCTGGACCATATCAAGTAAAGAGGAACTGTCTTTGGCCACACACAAATCATATAATATAGTTTGGGCATATACATGATAAGAGCTATTTTATTTCTTTAAATATTTTTTATTCCAAAGTTTAGAAAAATTTGACTTTGGTTTTATAAAATTAATCCATCAATGTCTGCTTCAATGGAAGTGGTCACAATTCTTAGTGAGTTCTCAAGATGGTTGTCAGAAACGTTTGTTCAAATTTTGCTCTTTATCTGCTTCATAATTGAAAACAGCTGCTCACAAATGTATGAGCTGCCAAAAAATAATGTCATGAATAAGGTGTGACTGTGAACTTCAAAAATGGAACTATGCATGGGGTCATGAAGAAAATAAATGCTAAAAAACGTCTGATGTTAAAAGATTTTCTGGGGTCACATTACCAGCTATCATGGGCCACATGTGGCCCATGGGCTGTGGTTTGGACATGCCTGCTTTAGGGAATAATTGGAATTGCTTAGAAGGCCTTGATAATTACTTGAAACAGGATTTCTTCCTGTGAGCAACATGGTCTCATAAAAATCTTTTGAGCCGTGGAATGTTGTTTGACAGCATTGTTTTAGAAATACAGATTGGACAATGCTCAACAAGACGCACTGTGTATTGTAAGAATTCGTCTAGAGTGTTAAGGGTGGACAGAAGTGAAGATGCATGCTAAGATAGCTACTATGTAGGTTAAAGTAAGTTGTATGCATGAAGCAATAAGGGCACAGAGAGGTGATGGAAATAGAAACGGAGCTGAGCGTATACAAGTATGCGAAGAAGGAAGAACCACTGAGTGGTTGTTGTATAGGAAAAGCCACTGGGGACTTTATGATGAGTTATCTTCATCTGAAAACCAAGATGGAGTCAGAGTTTAAAATTTGCTTTAGTATCCTGAGATCACAACACTCAAGCAATCTAGCTTATTGTGCCTGGACTCACGTGTTCAGACCCCTGAGTGTTATGAATTCCCAGGTAACCAAAGGATCGGCGATATTTTTGGTATTAGTCTTATAGAGCTAAATAACATTTGTCGTTTCAAAATCAACAGAGTAAAAAATGCATTTGTAATCTTTATCTCACCAGAGCATGAAGTTAAAGCACCACGAGCTCCAGCTTCCTGCCTAATAGAAGGTTCCTGAGTTGTTTTTGTTTTTGTTTTTTTCAGACCATTGGGAAAACATTTTCAGTGACCTTAATTAGTACCCAAACAAAGAAAGAGAGATGAAAAGGGCAGTGAAGGACAGAAGAGGTCTGGAAAGGAAAGGCACCGTGAAAGGTGTGTTTTGGCTTGCACAGCATGCAAGCTCTCACATCATCAGGCCATGGAAACTTTGACTCAACCCCACACTTCATTCTGACGGCATTTCTAAAACCTCTGGAAATGCAGCGGGTCTCCTCTTCTGTCGGCCTACTTTTGACAACAGTAAAAATGTTTTACATGTGGATCAGGAAAAGTAGCCACGTCAACATTTTTTTCTTTACTTCTGGGCATTTTTCCTGGCTTCACACATTCTCCTTATTGCTTTCCTGATGCTCTGGACAGGCTTGGGAGAGGAATGCAGAAACCCAGGTCTGCTTTTTGAAACACTCAAGCAACCCACGGGATTACATAAAGCACAAAAGAGCACACTCCTCTTAAGGTGGCATGGTTTGGGAACCCAGGGTTGAGAGGGGAGCTCATTGTTTTCAGGGCCAGACCTTCCATAAAGATGTAGAGCCCCTGTGCTTTCTGCTGCCACTGCCAGGAGTGATGAGTGTGACAGGGGAGGAGGAGGCCATGTGGGGACGGGGCTGCAGCAGCTGAGCCCCTCTGCTCCCAGGGCCCAACTGCAGAGCTGTGGGCATGCAGGTGGACAGAGAGAGCCTGGTATGTAGCCAGCTCCAGAGGACAGGAAAGGAAACATAAAACAGCTGAATGCTTCCTGCACCTCCTCTCCTTTCTGGTTTTGGCAGAAAGCAGAATATAGCTCTGAACATGAAAGATCTCTTCACCCTTGATTCAAATGCTGAACACTTCCCAAACTGCTAAGACTTTGCAGAGGAAAGGACAACATTTTAAAAACGAGCAGAGGTTGTTAGGAAGCCGTTTCCTACCCCGTGGTTGCCATTTGCCAGCTTGTGGGAATTCTCTTTGCAGGCACTGCCTTCCTCTCTTGGTATTCAAGCAGAAAGGGAAGAAGGCTTCTGGAACAGCAGCCTGTTGGCTGGGATTCCTGCAGTTATGTTAGACCACTACTGGAGAAGGGACAGTGGAAAAGGTAAAAAATGCCTTCCTCTGCCCTTCAAAGATCTATTCAGAATTTCACGTAACAAAAGAATAGCAATGACTCTGGGAAGTAGTGTTTGGATGAACCAATTTAGTTGCTGAGGGGTAGGAAAACTAACAAAAGAGTGAACTTTCCTTTAAGCAATTAGTCCCTGAGTCTTCTTCAGTTTCTGTCACTGCCAGTTTCTCTATCAATGATGCAATAGGACAGCATCCATAAAATCTCTATAGCTCTATAAAATATGAAACATGTATCTCTCATTTAATCATCTTTGTGGCTGAGACAGGAATATAAATTAACTCCTGAATTCCTCACTGATTATATATGACAAAGATCGTAGCCAGGTCTTAACTACTTAAAGGAAGCAAGTCAAAAGGAACAAGGGTTTCTTTACAAAAAATTACCACTATATTTTGTGACTCTAATTTTTCCCATTTTTTTTTTGTTGTTGGTGACAATGAAGGGAAGATTAATAAATAGGTGGCAGATCAAAGAAAAAAGAGAAAAGGGAACGACACTAGGTGTCAGTTCAACTTCTGATTAAATCACTGTACACAACGTTAGAATGCTAACTACCTAGTTTCTATTGAAACAACCATTCCATGTAAGTAGTCCCACTTTAAAGCAAAATAATATTTTAAAATATTTTGATACATTAACCTTCTCTGAAAACATTTCATTTTACCTGTGTTATATTCTTTGACTCACCAAAATTAGTAAGTTCAAAAATGTCTTAGCTTCCTTTATTGATCATAAATTGTTATCTTTTGCCACACCCTGATCCTGATAGTTCTTATCTTTGGCCTCTCCCAGTGCTACCTTATGATATATTTGGAAAGTCAAGGTGACTCCCATTTCTAGCCTATGCCAAGCCATATAGTTGAAAAGAGGTCACCACAGATAATTCAGTTATCAACATTTTCTTAGCAGGGGAGGTGAAGCAAGCACCCAGGCAGCCGGAACCAAAACCAGAGTGATGAGAACACAGAATATCGATTTTTGAGGGACCCATTTCAAAGGATCAGAACATGGCTGCTTGATCTGGGTCTGGGAAGGGCCCATGCTGGCTTTGGCCCCTCCTCTGAGGATGGCCAGTCCAGCTTTCTCAGTTTCCCACTAGTCAAGGTGATCCCCATAAGACCACCATCCCGTAAGCCCCACTTTCACAGACAATAATTAACAGATTAAGATGAACCTTGGAAAATAAATATAGACAAGCAAGGATACACACATAAATCTCTCCTATAAGGCCCTAAACCCTTGGGTTCCAAACTTCCATTTTAACTGGGCATAAACTGACCTTAAAGCCTCAGAGAAGATATTTGTATTCATAAGAAGGACATGAACATATCATCTACCTACCTTTCCGAAAACTAAAGCACCGTTTGATTCTTCTGTATGTAGTTTTAGGGATGAAAGGAGTTGACGCTAAGGTGCCTGAGGGGCGTCCCCCAGAATTCCGGTCTTCAGGCATCATACAGGCCTGAAGTTCTGAGCCTGGTTTTGGCTTCTTTTAAAACCTGCCTCTGAGTGAAAGCCCACAGCCACTCCTTCTCATGTTTGTTTATTTGTTAGGTTTGAAGTGCTGATTCTTAGAACTTGAAGGTTTTGCTCATCCAGGTCCTGGCTTAGGGATAAGTTACCACCTCCCATGTACTCCTTTTTGGCAAAAAGACAAAAACAAAAAACTTCCTTTTTGCTTGCCTAATCCAGGGAGTTTTTAAGGTTTTTGTTTGTTTGTTTGTTTGTTTAAGTTTCTGCAGACATTCCAAAATGTCACAAGAAAAGAACTGCACGCAGCAAGCAAGCTACACCTTCTATTCAAACAGCAGGAATTGGTTTTTGTATTTTATTGTTCTTATTATTGAGAACTGTCTTCTCAGCTGGACTGAGATTCCTCTGGAAAGGTCAGCAAATAGCCCTGTGCAAGAGGAAAGAGGAACAATGACAAAAAGGCCCCCAAGGAATACTTCAGGACTGTCCTTGCTGCCTCCTTTCATCTGAGCAAAGGCTAGGAAAATCATGGCACCTTCTCCAGAAAGCAGTTCGGTGCATGATGGATTTCTTTCAACGGACTCCTCTGTGCCTTATAGAGCGCCCCACATCCTTTGATGCTCTCTGCAGGTTTCTCCCTTTCCCCTTCTGTCTTCAAACTCCCGAGGGAATCATCTCATCAGAAGAGTCCAGTGCCCATTTCAGCAGGCTCCTTGGATCTGCGGGGGAGGCAGCTGTGCAAGGGAGTGCCCCCCCTTCCTGCTCCTCTCTCCGTTTGTTTCTCAATGAGAGCCAGGCGGGAGCTGGCAGGGCTACGGCTGCTCGTCACCAAGGCTGTGGCTGCGGCTGCCTCCAGTGCCCGCTGGTCACATGCAGAAGGTGCAGTCACAACACATGAGGGGAGGAGGGAGGATGCCACACTGCAGTAGGAACCCCTTTCTTTTTCTGTTGACTTTGCATTGGCTTCCCGGTTCTTGTCTTGAGCAGCCCTTTTTCACGGCTGGCTCAGCCCCTACAGAACTCACAGGATACCAAATCAAACTCCGAGGATAAATATTTTGTCCCTCATATCCACACAGTATGACCTCCCTGTACAATATTTACTTATTTTTTCAGATCCTTTGCAACCGAATCCATTTGAAAGTGTTGATTTAGCATGCAACATGATTAACTTGCACCATTATAACATATTTATATAATATATATGTGTGTGTTTGTAAAAGAGAAAAGTATTTTAGCTATGTTGGCAAAAAGTATGCAGGTATAATCACAAACAAATCAACCCGTGCGTGTGTGTGTGTGTGTGTGTGTGTGTGTGTGTATGTGTGTGTGTATGTGTGTGTGTATTTCTACATATGAGTACATGTACATTTCTCTGATTACAACTTGCAAACCAATTCTGTTTTCAACATTTTCCCACACTCTTGCATGCACCTCTCTCCATCCCAGCCCCCATGTCCACGAACCATGTCAGTCCTACTCACTGAACAATTTACTCGCTGGGTTAATCATTCATCCACCTGGCTGCTGCATGAACAGATTAGGAATGCTAGTGCTTTAACCCCGATTGACCTCCAAGGCCCATGCGCTCAGCCAGACCTTTACAAAACCATGAAGAGTGCTAAAAATGTCCTCCCATCATTACCCTGACTAGCATGCACGCATAGGTAATATTTTGGCATTGAAAAGGTTGTGATTCGTTGTTTCTGTGATTATTTTTTACCTTCTGTGTCACAACATACTGCTGAGAAAATAACTACTGAGTGTAACTCAGCATCACCAAGACAGGAGGGCTACACTTGAAAACACTTCAGCCAACTGAAAAATTCACTGACCTGAGCCTCGTTATGGAGTAAATGCTGTCATCACAAGATATTGGAGCCTGGACATGAAAACTATTTTTCCCTTTTTTTTAATTTCACAAGCAAAGGACAATTGAAGGTGAGGGAATAAAACTATGTATCCAAGATCACACAGTTGGTCTCTGTCTAAGGCAAGACCACACTGCCTCTTAATTAACCCCTCCTAGGCCTTATGCCAACTATTCATCATAAAGATTAGTCACAAGCAATATTTTTAGAACCTGGGTCTCTGAATCAATTCATTTTGCTAGGAGACAGAAATATACAGGAGAAACCTGATTTTGCTAGCAGCTAACATGAGGCTAAGCACTCAGAGCTAGAGAATAACTAATGAATTATCAGTCTCCTTGGAGTCTGGCCTAGACACTTTCATAAGTGCTATCTCAAAAACAATGTAAAACAGTATAAAATAAACAAGAGAGGAAGGAAGGAAGGAAGGAAGGAAGGAAGGAAGGAAGGAAGGAAGGAAGGAAGCGGGGGAAAAAAGGAAGAAAACAAAACTTTCCCAAAGTGAAATAAATGTTTTGACATCCCAAATTTTGTATTTGACTTTTAATCAGAAGCCAGGTGCCTCTTAGATAGGATTATGAATAGAAAAGCAATGGTTTGTGAGTGTCTTTAAGCAGACAAGCACCAAGTTGAGGTATCTAGATTCAATGTTGAACTTTGTTATCAGGCTAGAGAGTTAAAAGGGAAAGTAGACTTTTCACGTTTCTGTTGGTTCTCTGCCCCATCTGAATATTTTATAAATTCACTTTAATGAAAAGGCCTATCATTTCAAAGCCCTATATTTTATGATTTTTCACTTAACAGTTTGCCATTTGTAAGAGATTGATGAGTTAGGCAAGCTCCTGTGGTGTCTCCTATATTTAAATCTAGTGTCTATTATCATCATAGCAAAAAGGGAATATTTTGCAAATACATGGAACCTGAACAAAGGTAAGCTCAAGTGCCTCATGAAAAACGTCAACTTTTAAAAAATATAGGTTATGAAACTGCCACAATGAAGCACCCCTTTTTTAATAGATACATTTAAAATGTATCTACATGTGGTTTACAGTGACTGATAAATCAGGATGAAATGTCACCTTCTCTTCTAAATGTCTTTACACATGCCAAATAATCAAGAGGTGTTCATTTAAGGTTAACAATATCTGGGTCCTATAACTAGGGTAGGAAGGGAAAATGCATTCTCTTAAGAAAGAGATTATGAAAATTCAAGTTTTTAGTAGCTTTATTGAGATATCATTTGCATACCACGGAACTAATCCACCCTGTCAAAGTGTACACAATTCAATGGCTTTTAGAAAATTCACAGATATGTGCAACCATTGCCACAGTTAATTCTAGAGTATTTTCATCTTCTCAAAAGAAAACCCTATACATTTTGGCTATCACTCTATTCTCTCATCCTCCATCCCAGCCCTAAGAAACCACTAATCTACTTTCTATCTCCATAGATTTCCCTGTTCTGTGCTTTCATGTGAATGGAATCATAGTATATTCCCTTTAGTAACTGATTTCTTTCACTTAGCACGATGTATTCAAATTTCATTCCTGTTATAGCATGTATCAGTTCATCCTTCCTTCAGGCCAAATAATCCATTCTATGGGTAGATTACGTTATGCTTATTCATTCATCTGTTGAAGGACATTTGGGTTGTTTCCACATTTTCTTTCACTTGCTTGATGGTGACAGTTCAGGTATTTTTGAAGAACTCAAAAACTATATTAATTTTAACTATCATATGTTAAAAAAGCTCTTGTTTTTAGCATATACTGAAGACCATACTATCAATAAAGCATAGGCTTGTAATTGTGAGTTTTCCACTACCACAGTAGTAGAAGATCATACCATTGTGCTATAAAGCTGAAGGAACACATGAGTTTTCTTCCTAGTTCTGTTAATCACAGTGTGACACTTGGCAAACTTTTCATCCTCCCTGAATCCTAATGACTTAATCCATAAAACGTGGGGTTAAACTAAAACAATGGTTTTAAAATATTCCAGATTTGTGGAAAATTTACTTTCAACAAAATGTTAAGTAGAATCTTAATCTACAGTATAAAATAAGGGTTATTCAGTCATATAAATTTATTGTTTAAAACTAAAAGTTACAATGTTTCATTACAATTTCAATCAACAATTACAGAGTTCATTAATATTAATAGGGACATTTGAAACTCAAGATTAATATGAACATTTGAAACTCAAGATTATGGGTGGCTGTGGCAATCTACAATCACTGTTATTATTCAGTTTGGTTCTGTATGTATTAACTTTAGAACTTTCTGATATTCAGAGTAATCATAAAGGATTTATTGCAAATTAAATGAGCACTTTAAAAACTTGCCTTGCAATCTCATAACACTTTCCTATTAAATGAAGAGGGCAGAAGATTTATTCTTTGAAGCATTGTTTCTATTATGAGTGCTACATGTTAAAATACATCTCTTTATAAAATTCCTGAAGCATATATGCAGGATAAAGTATAGAGACCAACCAACCACTAGAGTATCCCCTCCAGGCTCATGAATTTGAAGATTCACATATACATCTTGCCCAGTTCTACTGGAATTATTTCTAGGATTTCTAGGCTGGTGCACTGCCTGTGGTCAATGATTTGAAGGATCTCATTCGTCATTCTTGAGGAAACGACAGATGGAGGAGGAGGAAAGGGAATAACTAACATACCTGATGGAAATAATCCCTAAAAATAATACCTTCTTAAGCAGATATTAAGAATTCCCTTGAGCTCAGGAGCCCAAGAAACCTGATCACAGAGGGGAGATGAGGGTCTTTAGAATAAAGGAACTTTATTTATTTTTTATTATAAAGATGTGGGGTACAATTCAAGGTTAGGTATAGAAACGTTGATTATGCAGGTACCCTTGTTGATGAAGTATGCCCCTCCCTCCCCTAGCAGTTTCCCCCAACTGCCAATCCCATCCCCCTACCCCCGACTGTTTCTCACTACTGCCAATTGCTTTCTTATAGTATTATAATTGTTCAAGGTCCACTTATGAGTGAGAACGTATGGTATTCTGTTCTTTGTTTCTGTGATAGATCACTGAGTATGATCAACTGTAAATCCATCCAAGTTGTTGCAGAGTCAATTTGTTTGTCCTTCTTTATGGCTGCATAATATTCCATTGTGTATATGTGCCACATTTTTTTATCCAGTCTAGCTTCGATGGGCAACATGGTTGGTTCCATGTTTTTGCTATTGTGAATAGAGCTGCAACACACATTCCTGTGCAGGCATCTTTTCTGTAGAATGATTTGAGTTCCTCCAGGTATATTCCCAACTGGGGAATTGCTGGGTCATATGGAAGGTCAATTTCTAGTCCTTTCAGAAATCACTACACAGTCTTCCAAAGAGGTTGCACGAGTTTGCATTCCCACCAGCAGTGTAGAAGTGTTCCTTTTTCTTCACATTCTCACCGGCATCTGTTGTTGTTTGTTTTATTAATGATGGCCATTCTTACTGGGGTTAGGTGGTATCTCAATGTGGCTTTGATTTGCATTTCTCTGATGATGAGTGAGGCTGAGCACTTTTTCATGTATGTGTCTGTTGGGTGCTTGGAATATCTTCTTTTGAGAAGTGTCTATTCATGTCTTTTGCCCACTTTTTAATGGGGTTGTTTGTTTTTTTTCCTTTCAGCGCATTTGAGTTCCTTGTAGATCCTAGATGTTAGGCCATTGTCAGATACACATAGTTGGCAAATCTTTTTTTCCCATCCTGTGGACTGTCTCCCTGTTCTCTTGATGATTTCTATTGCTCTGCAGAAGCTTGTACCACTTCTCCATCTTGAGGTTCCACTTGTCCATCTTATTTCTTAAGGTATGGGCATTTAGGTTCTGAATAGGAATTGGTTGCCAGTTCCAATTTCCATAAGGGTGTCTCCTGCGTTTTCTAAGATTCTTATAGTTTGAGATTTTAGGTTTAGGTCTTGATCCATTTAGAATTAATTTTTGTGTATGGTGTTAGATAGGGGTCCTGTTTCAATCTTCTGCATGTGATCAGCCAGTTTTCCCAGCACCATTT